CACAGCTCATGGAGTCTGTGCTCTTTAACATGGACTCCAAAACATGCAGCAGCTTCAGGGCACAGATTTTTGACTTGGAAGGAGGGAGGGAGATGTTAATAATCTCGAAGGCCCTCTTTATTGCTGCCACAGGCTCTGACCTCTGCCTGGTATGGACTGGGCATGGGATAGGATGCCAGATTTTGGAGGGTAGAAGACTCTTCCCTGAAGGAAAAATAAGTGATTTTGCTGGTGTGCCCATTCACAGCGATACAAAGAAGCTTTATTTCAGAGGCTCCTACCTCTGCACTGCCCTGTCCTTAAAGGAAACTTGTTTTGTTAGGATAGATTAGTCTCTTAGACAAATATTTGGTATTTCCTTTCACAGCAGTTTAGCAAGAGATGCAGATTCAGACATTAATCATTCTGCCCTCCTCCTACCTTCCCCGAGTGAAAATCATTTCACACCATCTACCAGTCACCCTCCACTCTTGGAGAGGTGCAGAGGAGGGTAGGCAGCCTTGGGAGAGAGACCAAGAGGTGGGGTTTGTAAGAAGTAGAATTCTGGGGCCGGGCGCGGTGGCTCAAGCCTGTAATCCCAGCACTTTGGGAGGCCGAGACGGGCGGATCACGAGGTCAGGAGATCGAGACCATCCTGGCTAACACGGTGAAACCCCGTCTCTACTCAAAATACAAAAAACTAGCCGGGCGAGGTGGCGGGCGCCTGTAGTCCCAGCTACTCGGGAGGCTGAGGCCGGAGAATGGCGTGAACCCGGGAGGCGGAGCTTGCAGTGAGCTGAGATCCGGCCATTGCACTCCAACCTGGGCGGCAGAGCGAGACTTCGCCTCAAAAAAAAAAAAAAAAAAAAAACAAAGAAGTAGAATTCTGGAGACACTGCTGCCAGGTGCTCAGCAGCCAGGCACAATTATGTAAACTGGAGGGAATCCTGCCAGCCTGCCTCCTCCAACAGACAGGAGTGATACTTCTGGGTAAGTTTTAGGTACCTTTAGAGTGAGTGCTGACCATTGTCACTCAAGGTAGGAGAGGGCATGGCTGTGGAATTTCCTCCTTCAAGAGGCACTTGTGAGCCAGGCACCGTGGCTCACGCCTATAATCCCAGCACTTTGGGAGGCCTGGGCAGGCAGACCACGTGAGGCCAGGAGTTGGAGAACAGCCTGACCAACACGGTGAAACTCCATCTCTACAAAAAATACAAAAAAAAAAAAATTAGCCAGGTGTGATGGCGTGTGCCTGTAATCGCAGCTACTTGGGAGGCTGGGGCAGGAGAATCCCTTGAACCCAGGAGGTGGAGGTGAGCCGAGATAGCATCACTGCAGCCTAGGTGACAGAGTGAGACTCTGTCTGAAAAAAAAAAAAAACAAAAACAGAAACTATCACTGGGAGCTTAGGAGTAAAGTCTGACGACAAGGCAGACCTGAGTTTGAATCCTGACTCTTCCACTTACTATGTGACCCAGGGGAGTTCCTCCATCTCTCTGAGCCTGTTTCCTTATCTGCAAGAAGGGGATGATAATAGAATAATGAAACCAACCTTATAGGTTGTGCAGAGGATTAATTAGCTCATGATGATCGTCTCTTTTGGTCTTCACAAAGACCTGATGAGGAAACAGGCTCAGAGATTTACGGATTTCCCCAAGGTTGGCAGAAAGCAGATGGTGGAGCTGAACAGCCAAAGCTCAGGTTCTTCTTCTTTTTTTTTTTTTTTTTTTTTTAAGAGTTAGGGTCCCACTCTATTACCCAGGCTCGAATGCAGTGGCGTGATCATAATGACCATAGCTCACTGTGACCTTGAACACCTGGGCTCAAGCGATTCTCTTGCCTCAGCCTCCTGAGTAGCTAGGACTACAAGCGTACACCACCATGTCCAGCTGTTCTTCATTTTGTGTAGAGATGGGGTCTCACTAAGTGGCCCAGGCTGGTCTCACACCCCTGGCCTCAAGTGATCCTCCCGCCTTGGCCTCCCAAAGCTCAGGCTGCCAAGTGAGCAGTGCTTTGGAAGATGGAACAGCCTGCTTGCTCTGTTGTTCCCCTCCTGCCACATGACAGATACTCCTTTCTAACACCTATGGTCCCTACCTGTCCATGGACATGCTCACAGGTCTCCAGGGAGCAGAACTAAAATGAGTTCAGGAACTCAGGCTGGCCCAGTCAAGTCCTTGGTTCAAGGCCAGGTTTTCTAACACTCGGTGGGTGTGACCAGATTCTGGTCACAAAGCTATGTGTCCACAGGGCCTCCACATTCTAGGGTCACCCTTTCCTTTGATACTCACATCTAATGGCCTAAGCCTCTATTCCACACAGTCCACAAAGCCCAGCAGCTTACCAAGGATTTTGTGTAAATGGCTTAGAACGGTTTTTTAAAAAATTCAGCTGAGAGTCTTTACCTTTACACCAGAATAATGTAATTCTAGGCGGGGTGCGGTGGCTCACATCTGTAATCCCAACACTTTGGGAGGCCGATGCAGGCAGATCACCTGAGGTCAGGAGTTCGAGACCAGCCTGGCCAATGTGGTGAAACCCCGTCTCTACTAAAAAGTACAAAAAACTAGCGGGGCGAGGTGGCTGGCGCCTGTAGTCCCAGCTACTCGGGAGGCTGAGGCAGGAGAATGGCGTAAACCCGGGAGGCGGAGCTTGCAGTGAGCTGAGATCCGGCCACTGCACTCCAGTCTGGGCGACAGAGCGAGACTCCGTCTCAAAAAAAAAAAAAAAAAGGCCGGGCGCGGTGGCTCAAGCCTGTAATCCCAGCACTTTGGGAGGCCGAGATGGGCGGATCACGAGGTCAGGAGATCGAGACCATCCTGGCTAACACGGTGAAACCCCGTCTCTACTAAAAATACAAAAAAATTAGCCGGGCGAGGTGGCGGGCGCCTGTAGTCCCAGCTACTCAGGAGGCTGAGGCAGGAGAATGGCGTAAACCCGGGAGGCGGAGCTTGCAGTGAGCTGAGATCCGGCCACTGCACTCCAGTCTGGGCGACAGAGCGAGACTCCATCTCGGAAAAAAAAAAACAAAGTAATTCTGATACCAATGTGAGTCTAAAAATTTTTGTACTGTTTGTTCCCTTAGGTCTGTTTTTCGGTCCTTTACCATTGTTTTTCTTCTTGCTTGGAGGTTAAATGCTGTCTCTATCCTTTTAGGGGTTTTCCTCTTCCCTGAGATTTCTCAAGATGCCCAGGGTGCCTTAAGTCTGCCTGCCCCTCTTGTTCCTCATTCTTATTCCCATTAATTCTCCATTGTGCTTACTTCTTGCCTCCTGTTTGTTGTTTTTTCCCTCTTTTCTTCATACATTCACCATTAACGGTGCACCAACCTTTTACTTAACATCAGGTAGATAACATGGTGGGGAAGACAAGTTGCTGAGCTTAGAGCCCCTTGGCCATGAGGAGTCCCTGCCACATCCCTCCTCAGGTGCTAGCTGGGTAGGCCATGTCAGATCCCCTCTATAAGTCTTCCCTCCCAGAGCCCCAACCCCACTTCATACCTCCCTGGTCCACCCTACTCACCCTCCTGCTGTCACTGTCCCCTCACCTTGCCCAGTTTTTCTCCTGGTGTTTCTCATTATCTGAACTCTTATTTAAGTTGTCTGTCTCTCCCATTAAGCCTCACAGTGGTGTCTTGTTCACCACGATACCCCAAGAGCATGAAACCAGGCCTGGCACACAAGTAGTAAAGACAAGCAATGGATATTTGTTGAACAAATGAGTGAATTCTGGCATTCTAAGTCTTCAGTGGGACCATCCACCTGTCAATCCCAGTGGAACTGGTACAATGAAGTAGAAAAGGGGTCTCCTGGGATCCCACTCCCACCCCAGGTGCTGCCCACCTCTGGGTCCCAAAGACCCCCACAGCTGAAAAACTGGACTCAAGGGAGCAGATAGAGTAATGTACTAACATTTTTAATACAGTCTGATCAGATCAATTCACATCACAAGGTCAACCTGGGCTTGCTCACATGTGACACAACTGAGGTACACAATGTCCCTACCTGCTGGCTGTCCCACCTTCCTGGCTCCCAATTGCATTGAAACCCCCTCTACTTCCCTGACCAGACTGGCATTTTTTAAAATTTTGCATAAAACTATTTCTTCCATAGACTTCAAACAATCAACTAGCCAAGTTAATTATGGTACATCTAAACAAAGTTTAATACTAACCCTAATGTGTGACTGCGGTTTACAAAGAGCTCTGTATCACCTGGGATAGCTTTCAGTAGCAATTCACTACAACTGGTCCTAAAAAATAATAACAATAATAATAATAATTAGAGAATTAAAACCCAACAGCATGTTGAATGGTTAAAATCACATAAGAACTGAAATTTGGGGTGGGGGTGTCCTCAATAGCTGAGCTTGTCCTAGCAGTGAAAATGCTCGCCTCCAAGCAGGGCTCAGGAGTCTGGAGCCCTCCAGACAGAGGGCGGAGTTCAGGGGGGCTCTTGGAGGACACTCACCCCATGGTCCATGGGATGCTTCTGGCTTCCTTAAAAACAGTTGGGCATCCGCATTGTATAAGTGGGTGGAGACCCTAGTGTGGTTCTTTTGAAGGATACGGGAAGGGAGGATTAGGAACTACAGAAGTGGGAGGGGACCAAAATCACTGAGGTCCCAGAATACCATAGATTTGGGTATAGGATTGGGGTCACTAAGAATTGAGCACCAGGAATTCCAGCTTCTTCCCATTAGAGAAACTGGGACTGGTTTTGCCTTGGAGGCCTATGTAGTGTTTTCTGCCCCTGTCCCATACCAAGTCTCATTGATATTTCTGTAGAATATCAGATGAAAATCTATTTCTAAAGACCATTGGGAGAATGGGTGGTAGAGAAGGAGTTGGGTGGGGTTGGGGGGCAGTTAAAAATGAATAAAAATCTCTCAGCTACAGAACCCAAACATCACTTCCCTCCGCATTCACAGCATTTCCCAGCAGTCCCCAAATGGCTGTTGCCGTGGGGACAGAGCAGCTGCCTCATTTCCCTTCAGGCCCCATGGGCTGCTGGTCAACCTCAGGATCTACTAAAGATGACGCAAATGCCGACTGAACAATCTGAAACCCAAAGGACTCGAGGAGAGACATGTTCTGCTGAGGAGAGAAAGGTGAGCCAAGGGCAGGGCCCAGGTCCCCCAGGGGGCCCCCAAGAGCCCGGACATGCACCTTCTGGATGTGTTTGTTCAAGTAGGACTTAGAGCGGAAGAAGCTCCCACATTCGGGGCATGGGTACTTCTTCTCCCCATCAGACTCCATTTTGTTTTTGGGAACTGCCATGTCGCAGGAGAAAGAGCCATTGGCACTCTGCTTCTCCGGCGTCTTCAGGTCGCTGGCATCTGAGAGGTCACCATAGGAGTCAGAGCTCTCAATCGGATCCTGATGTGAGCATTTCTGGCCTTCTACAAAAAAACAAAATACAGGAGAGAGATGAGGCCAGGCTCTGGAGATGCCCCCTCCTGGAGGGGTCATGAGGGGCCAGCTCACAGACCTGTGGAGGGCAGCTGTTGGCCAGCCACTGTCCTGGCAGAACCCACGAAGGGTCAGCTGGTCAGTCTGGGAGACTGGAGTGCCTACAGGGGTGAAATGGCAGGGCCCTAGGGCTGCCAGCCTCCCTTGCTGTGGACTCTTCATGCAGCTGCACGTGTACTGCTCACCGTCATCTCAGCCTGCTTCAAGGAAGGGATACAGAGAGGGCAACTCTGCTACTGCTGCCCAGAACAACTTAAAGACCCCCAACTTCTAGGCACTCTTTTGGGTGCCTCTGGGGGTAAAATTGGTATTCTGATGATGCCGAGCCAGTGTGACAGTGGCTTCGCCTCCTGCACCAGACTAGCTGCACTGTAGCAAGCCAGGCAGAACCACAGCCATCAGGTCCTTAACCTGGGTAGACCCCATCAATGGCTCAGACAGAAGCCAATCCTTTTCCTAATGCTGCAAACATGAGCCCTGTTCTTACCGCCTTCCTTCTGCCAAAACCCTTCCAGGGCCAAGCAGCCAAAGGACAGAGATTGAAAGCAACTCTGTACTTCTCAGTCGGCGGGGTGTCCCCACCCTAGGCCCCAGACAAGCTGGGCCAAGAGACAACCCTGGCTGCTCTGCCTTGCCGGGCCCACACTGAGTCCTCCACCAATCAGCAGCTTCCTGCCTGGGTCCAGAGCGACGTGCCGGGAAGGGAGGTCTGTGATGGGAGCATGGAGCATGCCATCTCTGCTATTTCTACCATCTGCCAAGCCCCTGGCCTCATCCCCAAGGCAACAACAACGTGACATACAACAAAACAACCTGAATCAACAAGTGAAGGTGGGCCTGGGGAGCTCTCTGCAAACCAACTCCCAAGTCAGAGGAGTCAGATAGCTCATTATTGCCATGCATCTCACAACCATAGCCAGAGGCTCTCCAGAAAGGGCCACTCACAGTAATCAACCACCCCTATTGTGAGACAAGCCAGACATTGGCTCCCATCGGCCCACTGGGTCAAAAGAGGAGAAAGCATTCAGCCACAGCTCCACACCATCCTAAAGGGCAGCAGGCAGTGACAGGCCCATAGTGGCTCATCATGCGGGGCTCTTCTGCCCAGGGCCCGGGGCATCCCTGCAGGGCTCCAGACAGTGGGGGCTGGCCAGGAGGAAGGGAGAAGGGCTGGGGAAGAGGAGGCGGAGGCTGGATCTTGGCAGTGCCCTAAAGCCTCACTCACTGCCCTGGAGTGAGATACCCACTGTGACTTTTGTCCTGGAGGCCACTGCCACTCAGATCTCTGAGTCTCCTCAAGGCAGCCAGAAAAGTCGGCAGCCTTCCCGCCTCCCCACGCCCAGCCCAGCGCCCCCACAACACAGTCTGCGCAGAGAAGCAAAGTGCAGAGCAAGGGGTCGCTTGCCTTTGTTGCCATAGGTCCTGGCGCAGTGGAACGCTGCTCCCCCATTCAGGATGGGCTCCTGGTGCCTGGAGACCTGGGGAAGGGGAACACCGTGGTGGGTTTTAACATGGACCTTTAAGTAGGAGGCAGAGGAGAAACCTAAACAAGACAAAAGGAGATGAGATCCCACGGCCAGCAAGAGATACCTCTCTCCTTCCCCCACTCCTCTCCTCTGGCCGCTCTGGCTAGCATTCCCAGGTCAGCTGCACCTAGAAGGGGCCCCCTCCTTGGCTCAAAAATGGCTGCAACCATATGAGCCAGATGGCTCAGGATGGAGGGTGGCACTGTCCACAAATCGGCTTCTCTGCAGAGCCCACTCTGCAAGGCTGCGGTAAGGGGCCGAGGCTGGCCGCCTGGTGGGATGGCCTGAGATCCTGCTCCTGCTAGGGCCAGAGGCCAACTGCCTCTAGGGTTGCTTGGTGCCTCAGTAACAGGTGGTTTGAGTGGATGTCTCCTGCACGAACCATGACTAGAAATGTGGTTAGACAAGAATTTGGGGCTCCAGGGAAGTCACAGGATTCTAGCCAGCAGGATGCCTGCTTAATCCTTATAAAAGGAAACTGGACAACAAACGAGATGGAGGTAAAATGAAATCCCAAAGGAATGCCTCCAAGGATCCCGTCTTCTACCTGTCAGGAGATGTTCTATTTTTCTAACTTCCCCACCTTCAGCATAACAGGATTTAGTAACTGTTTAGATCTTTTGAAGAACAAAGACAAAAATAGGAAGTTCTGTCAGAGCAGTGCAGTCATCTCTTATTCATGGTAGTGTTTTGGTTCGATTCTGGAGCATCCACCAGGTTCACATACAGGAGAAGAAACAGGGATGATCTCTGTCTTTATTTTGGGGGAGGACAATCCAGCCGTCTTGGAACTGTTCCTGACCACCTTCCAGATGCTTCGGTCAGTCTGAGCCACAAGATATCTCAGGCTGGGAAGAGTAGATCTTGGGCCAACTTCCACAGCAGCCATGTGTCCAAGGATACAGAATCAGGCAGGCCGATAAAAGGATTTTGACTTGAGTTTCACAGGAAGGAGGTATGCCATCGAACCCCACTGTAGTCAAGGATCAGAAGGTGCTTTTAGCAGGAACTGCAGCTTTTTAGTATAAGGCCCACTTAGGGTGCCAGCACCCTGACAGTGTCGCTTTAATCCACTTCAGATCTGGTTGACTCATTATTTTTCGATTCACTTTCAAAATTACACAGTCACAGGATAACAGTGAGATCCACTGCTAAAGGGTCAGAGGCTGAAGAGAACTGTGTAATGTCTGCACGAGATTTGTTTTAAAAAAAAGTCTGAATTGGCACGGCATTTTGAATGCTGCTGGAACTGTAATAAAGATTCACCTTTAGTAAGTGCTGATGGCACACCAGGGCCCAGCACACCATATGCACTATTCTATAGAATTTGCCCAACACCTTTTGTGCTACAGATTACTATTATACCCATTTTACAGATAAAGAAATTAAGAGGCTTCGTGAGGTTAGGGAGGCCGAGGCGGGCGGATCACGAGGTCAGGAGATCAGGACCATCCTGGCTAACACAGTGAAACCCCGTCTCTACTAAAAATATAAAAAATTAGCTGGTGTGGTGGCGGGCGCCTGTAGTCCCAGCTACTTGGGAGGCTGAGGCAGGAGAATGGCGTGAACCCGGAAGGCAGATGAGATCATGCTACTGTACTCCAGCCTGGGCAATAGAGCGAGACTCCATCTCAAAAAAAAAAAAAAAAAAATCGCCAGGTGCGGTGGTTCACACCTGTAATCTCAGCACTTTGGGAGGCCAAGGCGGGTGGATCACCAGGTCAGGAGATTGAGACCATCCTGGCTAACACGGTGAAACCCCATCTCTACTAAAAATACAAAAAATTAGCCGGGCGTGGTGGTGGGCGAGACTCTGTCTCAAAAAAAAAAAAAAAAAGAGGCTTGGTGAGGTTAAGTAACCTGGTCACACATACAGCTACTAAGTGGCAGAGCCTGGACTCCAACCCCAGGATCATGTGCCACCAGAACTTGGCCCTTAGCTACTGGGCAGATGCTTTAACCCACTTATGCCTCATGTTCCATTATTGGAACGCTAACCCAGGAGTTATTTATATCCTACTGCTCAAGATCATTGCTAAAGTCTGATTTTTCACAAAAAAGTTTGTAACCTTTAGCGTAAATGGGTTAATTGGTTCCTCTGTCTTAGCCCTGAGCCCTAGAAATATCCAGTGGACTTTTACAATAGGTTTCATTATCACCATTTATACTCAGGTATTTTTCTGCCATAATGGTATGTTAGAATGGAAGCTGCTGGAAAAACTGGGCTGGCCTGTGGAAACTTCATGTAACAAGTTTTTCTCTGACAGCAGCAGTTAGTGGTTCTGAAACGTGGGATTGGGCCAATTTTCCTTCCTTTCCCAATACAGCTACTTCAAAGATCTGTCTAGACCAGATGCTGGTGTCCTGCCCTGCCTGGTAGAGCAAGTTGTCCTGTGCTGTGACCGAAGTGTCTGCCTGAGGCTGATCATGCGTATAGACTGGTGTAAAAGGGTCCCATGTAGACATCCCTAAGAGGGAGGCTGTAGTCAGGTGTGAGGAGACAAGGCGAATGGGAAAGAGGCTGTTAGCCCTGCCCCTGGGGGTGGTACTGTAGAGTCCCCCAAAACAAAGCAGAACCAGGAGATATTGGCTCCCACCAATCAGTACAAGATATCAGAACTTTCTGATAACTTTAGAAGGTAATTTTTTCCTTTGGTTTTTAATCCCTTGTGGGGTCTTTAAAATAGCATGAAGCTCTCTCCCCGTGATGAACCAGAGCAGGTCTGCTGCAATCAAAAGGGGACAGAAAGGAGCAGGAGAGCACCAGGAATTACGTTTACTCCTTACTGGGAGAACTATACCAAGAGAACACAGCAGATGCTCAATCAAATCTTGCTGAGTTTGGCTGGGCGCAGTGGCTCATGCCTGTAATCCCAGCACTTTGGGAGGCCAAGGCGAGCAGATCACCTGAGGTCGGGAGTTCCAGACCAGCCTGACCAACATAGAGACAAACCCCGTCTCTACTAAAATACAAAATTAGCCGGACGTGGTGGTACATGTCTGTCATCAAAGCTACTAGGGAGGCTGAGGAAGGAGAACTGCTTGAACCCGGGAGGCAGAGGTTGTGGTGAGCCAGGATCGCGCCATTGCACTCCAGTCTGGGCAACAAGAGT